GACCCCTACGTAGCATAAAAATTCCGCCTGACTACAAATATTTACTTTTATTTCCCTCCTTTATTTAGCCAACATATTCAACAAACAGGCGACACTTTAAAATTGATATCCCATTATTTTTCAGGACCAATTCAATTTAAAAAAAATATTTAATTTTCGGCGTTTCACAATTTTGACAGGCGACTCTCGTCACTGTACATATGAAGGTGGTATAACGTCACATAGTAAAAGCATAAAAACAGTTTAAAAGCGAACATTTGACACTTCTTTATTTTGCTTAGGTCATTGCACTGTGAAATCGTTTACCAAACATGAATGGAATCAATGGGGGCACGTTTGCATCACAGTGCAGCGGTCATGGGTTTGATTCCGGGCTCCTGCCGAGCTGTGTGTCGTTTGCTTGTTCTTGGGCCTGCGTGAGGTTTTCTCCGGTTTCCTCCAACATTCCAGAAACATGCATTATATGTTCAATGGACACTCTATATTTTTATAGTAGTTTCCAATTGTAAGTGTGAATTGTTTTTCTCCGTGTTCCCCGACGTCACACTGATTGAGGATATATATTTTTTCAATTAAATGACTAGCAAGACAGTGTGACTTGGGAAATTATCCCAGATCCCTTAATTAGTCACAAAATGCAGGTAATTTCTGCAAATAACGTATCTTTGTTCAACTATTTATGGCTGTGTCATATGGTGAGAGGCACATTATTACATTTATAAAAGTAAAAAAAAAAAAAAAAACAAGTTAAACAGTACAGTGACATAGTAATGCTCTAGTGTTACTTTACTCCTCAAATTATAGCAGGTGGACTGGAAAGATATGTCAATTGTATCTTCCGCCATCCAGTTGAAGAGCATGGAATTGTTCTGTCCATTTCTGAAAGTCACTGGCATAGACCGGTGGACAAGGATACATTATTTGTGGTGATTAAAGCATCATTTTCATCACTTTTTTTCCAATCTCACAACTTGTGTGCCGCCACAGTCAGCTTTGTATATTGTGAGATACTTATTTCATTCTTCTGGAACACAGCACCGTGGGAGAAGTGCCACGCATTCCATCCTGTCAAAAATATATATACCGGTATATAAAAAAATACTCATCATAAAATAAACATCCCTCATGGGATTTCCCGCTTGCGAGTGACAGCTGGGTAGGCCTGTGGCGTCTGAACCAGACGACTTTTTCCCTCTGCTTGTTCGGCCAGCTTGATGTGAGTGTACGACAGGATCCCCGCCAGAGTACACAGGATCCCCATAGCCTGGGAGCGACATGTAGCCACAGACAGTTGGTTGCAAGAAAATACAGTGGTGCCTTGAATTTCGTTTGCTCCATCGGTCCAATCACTTGTCTCTCAAATAAACTTTCCACATCAAAATGAATAGGAAAAAAACATTTTTCTGTTCCAGCACCCCCAACAAAAAAATTAAATAAAATACAAATTAGCACTGTTGTATCAAAACACCCCAACATTGGGACAATTCCAAGTCAAGGTACAACTGTGTTATTCCAAAACATTTGACAACGGTGCAAAAATTCTCACCTGGTTGAGTGACAGAGGGTCCTGGAAGAGAACATATCCTCCTACCAGGGTAATGCAGAATTTAAAATGGCCAAACATGTTGTAGCTGGAAAAATTGGACTCAAGGCAAACAAATGTCAATACGATTCCCAAGAACAAATTTTGATGCAAACCATTTGCTGCAGTAAGCGAATTATCTTTCTTCACTCGGCTGTTCTTAATGGAAATGTTGTGAAGGATACGTAACTGCTGACGTGTTTCCAATGATCCAGTAGATGGACAGGTTGACCAGGAACGCCACCACCCCGGAGAAAAGCACCGTCATCTGGAAAACATGAGGACTTTCCTTCAACGCAGAGCCCCGAACGTCAGACGTGAAAAGCAGCCTGAGAGTGTGTTGAGGCCAACCAGAGCGGGAAGGGACCACGGTCCAAATATTCCTCCGTCTCCTGTGAGCGGCTCAAAGAACGGGATAATGGCCAGCAGGACGCCCGACGACAGAGGAGCCTGGTAGTACAGAAGCTGCATGGAGTTGACTTGGAGCTCGTGTTGCTTTGCTCCTACCCACTAAAAAGACACACAGGTAGTCACAGCTTAATTGTCATACTTGGGGGAGCTCCCTTCCCCCCCTTTTTTTTAAGTGAAGAAAAAAAATGAAAACCGCAAATTAAAGATAAAATGATAAAGACAAAAAATCTCAAACTCACACTTTGTTCCCAAGGAGAAGTAACATTTATTTGTGTGTTTAAAATAAATAATATTAAAAAAAAAAAAAAAAAAAAAGAAAAAAATGAACTGATTCCCCTTCAGCCCGACGACAGAGGAGCCTGGTAGTACAGAAGCTGCATGGAGTTGACTTGGAGCTCGTGTTGCTTTGCTCCTACCCACTAAAAAGACACACAGGTAGTCACAGCTTAATTGTCATACTTGGGGGAGCTCCCTTCCCCCCCTTTTTTTTAAGTGAAGAAAAAAAATGAAAACCGCAAATTAAAGATAAAATGATAAAGACAAAAAATCTCAAACTCACACTTTGTTCCCAAGGAGAAGTAACATTTATTTGTGTGTTTAAAATAAATAATATTAAAAAAAAAAAAAAAAAAAAAAAGTAAAATATGTACTGATTCCACTTCATCTAACTCAAAGAGAAAAAAAACAAACAAAACCACAGACTCAAATATATGCAAGAGTGCTGCCTTTACTTGAAAACAAAAAATACTCAAGTCTATTGTGAGTAATCCATTTCTTTGGGGTATTTTTCTGTTTCAGAGTACTTTTTTTCTGTTCTCCTCGAGTTACTGTGTTTTCATCTTTCTCAGGATTAGTTATTCAGTTTTGCGCAATTATTTTATTGTTTTTCTGTGTGATCACATTCACCAAAAAATGAAAATACAAAATTAGCCTGAATACAGGAAAGAAAATTATTCTTCACAATATATATATTTTTTTAATTAGAGGGAAATTGTATTTCTGGAATGCTGTCTAGAAAATAAATACTCAAGTACGGATACTTAAAAAAAAGCTAATAATAATAATATTACTAATAATAGAAAAAAAAAATCACTCACCACTTGGTAGAGTGACGTCACAAGAACACCCAAGGTGGCAAAAATTGTCCCCAACGCATTGAAGCGCACGTCGTAGTACGAGTTCAATACCACACCGATTGCTATCGGGACCTGCAGAGGATAAAAGACAAAAGAGGAAAGACAGCGCTACCTTTTCACATCTGAGCACCCCAAATTCTGTTTTTTGCAGGTACAGTATCAAAGTCAGAATTTCACTACTGTCACAAAAGATGTTGAGTTGAGATCTTAATGAGTCAGTTCGCAAGTCATGGTACCATTGAGTGAACGGCAGGGAAACTGAAAAAGAACTGACCAACGTGAGCTTAATCTTGTTGGAGAAGGTCTTCTTGTAGTAGGCCGTCTGGATGAGGATGATGACGGGCGTGGTCATGGCCTTGGCCAGCTGGTACGTGCCGATGGAGTTGTTCTGCAGCGACAAGTTGGTGAAGGCCACAAAGCCGCAGAAGCTCAGCGCCAGCCATCCGATCTTGCGCAGCGGCAGCCTCTTGGGGCAGAAAACGTCCATCGTCTGGCACGCAAACAGGCCTAGCCAGGTGACCGCAAAGTGCACCAGGGTGAGCGTCATGTTGGGGAAGCCGTAGTGCAAGTAGATCCACTTGTTGATGAACACGATGCAGATGGACGACAGCAGGTTGGCCAGCATTCCGACCACGATGCGCCAGTTGGCCGACATGTCCAGAAGCGCCTTGGTGGCCATGGCGTGCTTGAGGTTTTCACAATGACACGCTCAAACTGTCCAGAAACGACAATTAGAAGAGGAAATACATTTTTCTTCTCTGATCTGGGCTTTGAATGGATTCCTTGTTGAATGCAATAGTATTCATGATCACTATCATTAAAATTGATGAATTTGTATATATTAACTTTCAAATGGGGCAGCCCGCAGGGTGAGTGGTTAGCAGGGGGAATTTTTTTGTTGTTTTCAAGAATTATTTATTTTCAAGGAAACACATGACACTTAAAAAGTTTACTTGACGTGCAAATGTTTTGCACCATTTGATTATGTTTGGCTGCTAATCCAACAGCAAGTATGCCATTCTGTTTGGCACATAAATTTGTAAATCTGACTATTTCGGTGCCTCACCAGGCAAGAACCTCACTGCGCGTCACAGAATTTATCAGAAAATGCAAACACTGATCTCTATCCTCCTAATCATAATGCAGGACGGTACAGTCGGAAGCAATGAAGTGGCCCCAAGTCAAGTGTTCCTCAGAGTGAGCTAGAATGACAATGTTGACCTAGTGACAAGAGGGCAAGAAGGAATTCTGCCACGCACCCAGCAGTTTTTTTTTACCTTGGTTCCTCATCTTCTTATGGCTGCTGTCCAACTGCTTATCCGTGGATCCGACTAACGGTGGGCGAGCCTGACGAAAGTTACAGGCCTTTTTTTCCGTGATGCTCAAACCTGAAAGTGCTGAGCTGGTTCCACACCAATCGAGAACTTGGGGAACTTTTGTCGCCGCGTACCTCGACTCCAGAGCCAGTTTAAAGTGGCCGTCAGAGACCTGAAGAAAGAGTGCTCTGTATTCCATTTCCGGGTTCTTCTTCTTCACCCAAGATTAAAGGGATGATGCCAAATACCCGTATGGTAAATTGCCGCCATCTACCGGTAACGAGTGGTAATCGGTACAGTCATCGGCTGTAATATTGTACATCAGTGCTCGGTCCTATGCCTTAAAAAAAATCTGCCTTTGAACCACAGTGGCACCAAGAGGCCTAATGGCACACGGCAGTCAAATATAATCAAACTGAAAGATTCAACAATTGCAACAACTAAAACTGCACAACAAGCCCCCCTCCCCAAATGCGTCTTTATTTATTTGAGTATTGTGGCGTGATTATGTTGGACACAAAAAAAGGGGGAGTGCACTGTATCTAAAGTTATACACGTTATAACACATTCGTGGCAGTCATGTACTGTGCCTTCATTTTCCCACGAAGAAGAATGCTGTTGAACCTCGTGAAGCGGGAAGTGACATCTTGCTTGCCAACATGGACTGGTAAGAACGTTCAGACTCTTGTTTAAGTCCGCACAGCTTCGACTTCTTTTAAGAGAGCGCCAGCGTGTCATTCGTCGATGTTTTGAAGAATCCGCTCGCCCGAGTTCAGTTCTTTGAATGCGTTCGCAGGGGATAACGAAGCTAACGCCGCGCTCCTCGTCCACAATGACCGCAGATGCTAACCGGCTAATGTTGTGATCACAACATTGGTCAACTTAGCGTAAGAGCAAAACAAAATTCAAGAGAATTAAAGTAAGGTGGCAACCCCCTGAAGTTTGGACACATATATATTGACAATAAATGACATTTTATACAACATTGGAAATGCAACACTATGTTTACCAAGAGATGTAATGAACGGGTTGATGATGGCACTACCTTTAGGGACACTCCACACGTGGAATTATTTTAATATATGTGAGTGTAATTGATGGTTCTGACTTGTTTCGTGTTTGTGGACTTGTTTAGGGGTCAAAGTGAGCTGCTGTCTCCAGTGGTCCGAGATGACTTGGTGACGGTTGCTGCCCGTCGGATGAAGAAGGTGGCGTGTATCCTGAAAGTGTGTGTGTGTGTGTTCCCTAGCTGTTGAGTTGTCTGTTCTGCGTGACGCTGATGATGCCTGACTCCATTTGGATTTTATGTCACAACTTTTAGTATTGTTGTTTTCCTGAATGCTGACCTCAGTCCCCTCACCCGAAATGGGCAATCCCAGTGCTTCCTTGGTAACGCCGGCCCGCTCCACTCTGAGGAAAACGCCTGCCTCACTCTTCAGACAAGCTGGTAGGACAAACCTTTGAGAATGGTCAAAGTTGGAAAAATCTCCATGGCAATAATGAGGACATTTATAACATCCAAGGTTGGCTTCTAATAGGGAAATGAAATACAGTTGGGGAAAATCAAATATTAGATTTAATATTTAATATAATAATGTCCCACTTTCTGGAAATTTCATGGAAATGGAACTTTTCTAGCCCTTTGCAAGCCCAAAATGTGTGATTCCTATTCAGATGACAGCAAGCCTCATTTCCTGTTGCGTGTCAAATCCTCTCCCTTCAGGGACTCCCCGGGTTCCAGATGTTTCCGCCATTTTGGCTCACGCGGGCCGAACCCCTCGCTTCGTGCACACGCCGAGAAACACACTCGGCAGTCTGGTGAGAAAAACAAACACTTAAACGGGCTTAATATCATGAGGCACACAAGAAAGCGGGGCCAGATTGCAAAATGTGCCAAACAACGTCGATGCTGCATGTAGAATTTGGACGACAGCGACTGGACCAACAGCATGTACGCGTCGCCCACGACGGGTTTGGAGAACACCAGCTTCTTCACGGAGGACATCACCCACCTCGCCTCGGCCCTGCTCAAGGACGACGACCCCGGAGAGGCTGGTGAGTGAAACAGCGGCACCCCGGGCGCTGTCACGCTCTGGTTTCCATCTGATTCTTAGCTTCTTGCTTTTGCAGCGGCAACCAGTCTTTTCCCAGATTTCCTGGCGTCCTTTTTGAAACACTCCTCCTCTGCCGTATTCGAACTGCTGGAGGATTACCAGACCCTCTGTCAGGACAAGGTAGGGGGACTGGAGTCACCCGAGGTGACTGGAATCAGACATGAGTCAGCAACGTCGTGACGTGAGTCTCGATTGAAGGTTAAGACTTAGTCCTCACCTTTTCTCGGGTGCTTGAGGTGGACGTCCTCCAGTCGGTGGTGCTGCGAGCAGGTCAGAACAGTAAGACGGCAGGAGTGCGCTGGCTACTGCAGCAGGAGAACCACTCCTGGAGACTCATCTCGTCCCTGTACAGGTAGGTGGACGTCCACGTCCTGCCTGAGACCGCCTCGCATCTGACCGCATGTGATCAGCATGTGTCTGCTCGCTCGCTTTGCAGGGATCGCATCCAATTGGCCCTGGAAGACGACATGATGGTCGACGTGGCTGTGAGTGATTGACTCGTGCCGTTCAAACACCTTGTCGTGGCAGCACACACTCGACCAAGGGGTGGCAAAAACTTCCCTTGGAATTCAAGATGGGGATATTTCTAGAAAGATTACAAATTGGAAGCTCTCCATGGGAATTCACTGGGAACTCGGGATCATGTCCTAGCAATGCCTCATGTCCATCTGGCTGACTTCTTGCGTGCAGATTCCCAGTGAAAGCGAAAAGGTGGTGGTGGAGCAGCTCTTCCAGCGCGATGCGCTCGTACGTCAAAGTCAGGTAACGAGCACGCTTGGCCCCTGTTGTGGTTTTTAGCGCTTGGCTCACGCCTGCGTCGCTCCTCACCCGTAGTTGGTCGTGGATTGGCTGGAAAGCATCGCCAAGGATCAGATGGGAGACTTTTCGGACAACATTGAATACTACGCCAAAAGTGTCTGCTGGTGAGCGGCGGCCAGTCGGATTTCAAGTTGTTTTGGTCGTAAATCAAAGACCTAGAGATCAAAGAAGAAAACAGCTCCTTGTTTTAACCCTCCCACTTCATCCTAATTCTGTAAAGCAGCATTGACCTTGTGGTTATTAGCATAGCTGGAGCAGCAGTAAAGTGTGTTTGTGTGTGTTAGGGAGAACACGCTGCACTCACTGAAGCTGAGGCGCAAGAGCGGCAACATCTTCACCGTCCCCCTAGTCACTGAGCTGGTGAGAGCCGTTACCATGACGACTGACCACCGAGGCAACGGTTAAGGTTTGCGAATGTGCTTTCAGGACCCGGATGCCCCGCTCCGCCAACAGCAACCCCTGGCCGACCTGGACCGGGAAGACGACGTCCGTCTGTTGAAGAACCTGTTCACGCTCATTCGGGCCGGGATGACCGAGGAGGTAGTAAAAGGGTCGGCGCGCTCGCCTTCCATTTGATCGCTGAAAACAGGGGGGCGGGACAAGCGGAGCGCATTCTTGAACCAAACATTTACAGTATCAGAGTTCCTTTTTATTTGCAGCAATTTTGTATGTACAGTTTTTTTCCCTCTCATTGGTGAATCCAAATTTGTTTGGTTTAAGTAACACACTTAAAATATCAGTAAAAATGTGCTCTTACCCTCCACTTTTGTATGTGTAGGCCCAGAGGCTGTGCACACGCTGCGGTCAGGCCTGGCGAGCAGCCACTCTGGAGGGCTGGAAGCTCTACCACGATCCCAACATGAACTCAGGTTCTCGATCAGCTCCTGAAAACAACTCAGCTACTGCCCCACGCGGCGACGTCCTCGAGCTCACTTTGGGGATGTTTGTCTCCTATTCGCAGGCAGCGCCGAGTTGCACCCTGTTGAAGGAAACCCTCAAAGAGGCATCTGGAAGGCCTGCAGCTGGAGAATGGCTGAGGAGGTACACGCACTAGCATGAAATTTCAACAAGACAGTCTTCGAAACCCCTCAAAATGAATTTGTGGCAATGTGTGGGACCCCCCAGGAGCAGCTAAACAGATACGAGCGAGCCATCTATGCCAGCCTGAGTGGAAATCTTAAACCGGTAGGATCCCCAATTTCTAGTTTTCATCAGTGTGCTAACATGCTAAGCTAAATGAAGAAGGTGGCGTGTATCCTGAAAGTGTGTGTGTGTGTGTGTGTGTGTGTGTGTGTGTGTGTGTGTGTGTGTGTGTGTGTGTGTGTGTGTGTGTGTGTGTTAGGTGCTGGCTGTGTGTGAATCGTGGGAGGACTGTGTGTGGGCGTACTTCAGGGTGATGGTGGACACACTGGTGGAAAAGCATCTGATGTCATCGGGGATGGCGCACCAGGAAGTGGAGACGCTGCCACGGGAATACCTGGAAGCCAAGTAACTGCCGCACACACACGCACACACATTTAGTCCTGTGATATTGCCACGCAAAGGAAGTTCTTGATAAGATCGCTTGTCACCTCAGCTGGACAATGGAGAAGGTGTTTGAGGAGCTCCAAGCGTCAGAGTCAAAGGTAAAACGTCAACTGAATATGATTGGTTCCCATGAAGCTCACTTGACTGAACTCACATGATTGGCGCACGTGTGCGTGTGCAGAGGGTGTTGGAGGAGACACAAGAGCACTACCACGTCATTCAGAAGTTTATCATCCTGGGAGACCTGGATGGTAAGATTTGCTCCAGGTCACTTGTGAGCCCTCAGAGGACCGTAGAAGTTTGCGACCTTTGTCTCAGGTCTTCTGGAGGAGTTTTGTGATTGGCTGACGGCCTCCAAGGTGCTCCCCTCGCACCTGCTGCGTTTCATGAGTCACCTGCTGCTCTTTTTCCGCTCTGTGGGTTTGGCCCTGAAGGTAAACCAGCACACAGAAGAAGAGGGCCAATGTGACCCAAAAATGAATGAAAAATCCAGAGCGGCCTAAATGTTGTTGGTGTTGTGCGGAAGGAGGACGTCTGCGTGGATGTGCTGAAGGCGTACGTGACCCTGCTCATCCGGGACCAGCAGACGGAGCTCGTGGCGAGCTACGTCAGCCAGCTGCCGGCCGACCTGGCCACCGCGCAGTACGCCGCTTTCCTCGAGACGGTCAGCCAGCCGGAGCTCCGTCCTCGCTGCTTGCAGCTCGCCACGGAGGCCGGTGAGAGCACAACTTTGCCTTTCGACGGCAAGACCACAAGCAAATTTGGAGTCGTTTTGTTCGTGAAGGTTTGGACGTGGCTGCTGTGACCAAACTGGTGGTGGAGACGGTGCGAGAGAGAGATGACGCCGAGTTCACGCCTCATAGCCAGACGCTAGAGACGGGAACCACAAAGGTTTGTTTTGAACGTTTAAAAAAAAAAAAAAAAAAAAGTGGTGGTGTCACGGTCCAAATTGAGAGTGTCTGGATGTGTGCGGTGGTTTTCCAGGAGGACCAAAAGAAGATCGACGTCATCGACTGGCTTCTGTTTGAGCCGGCCCATCGAGGGGAAGCCCTGAAGCAGTCCAACGCAATCATGAGGAGATTCCTGGGTAAAAACCAACCAACAAAATCACCGCTGAGCAACAGCATTTAGGAATACCATTCATGTCGTCACGAGACTCGTCTTTCACCTGGCGGGACCGTGATGCATCGCTTCTATCCGCCCGTCTCCCTCGCAGCTCTGGAGAAACACGACGCGGCCAAGGCGGTCTTCTCCAAAGTGCCTGAGGATTCCATGAGAGAAATCTACTGCCAGTGGTCGGCGCTAGGCCAGACCTCGCCTCTGCCTGCTGAGGATGAGAACGCCATCAGAGAGCATCTGTGCATCAGAGCCTACCTGGTCTGTGTCTGCCAACTACAAGTTGCTTTATTGGTTTTATCTCGGTAAAATATTTCACTCTTCTCACTCTTTGGCACTGCAGTCCTCCGAATGGGAGGCAAAGTTGAACGCTAAATTGTTCAACCAAACCAAGGAGCAGAAACTAAGACAAAGAGAGCATCCAACAATATCCACAGGCATATGTTGTTGGGTCTGTGCACCGATGTTGTGTATTGTTTAAGCGAAAATGTTCTTCCAGGAAGCCCACGAAGCCTTCTCCGACTGGTTCAGTCACAGTAGCTCGGCCCCCCCGAAGCCAACACCTGCACCGGAAGTGAAATTCACAGAGCGAGTAGCCAATGAGATGAGAGAAAAAGAGTACCAGGTACGCGCACACGCACCCCACCCCGCCTGAGGAAATTGGGGCGACAGCTTTCAAAAGCGCCTTTGCCGTCAGGTCGCGCTGTCGGCCTGGTCGAGCCGCCTCGATGTCCTGACTGAAGACGTGAAGGAGAGAATCTACAACGTGCTGCTGTTTGTCGATGGGGGCTGGATGGCGGACAACGCACAGGTCGGAAAAACACGCAGTTGACAATTACGAGAACAAAGGGGGTCCTCGTAGATGGACCACGGACGGAAGAAACGCTCAAGCGGCTTTCGGTCCACGCGAGCGAGCAGGAAGGATCTTTGAGGAGTCTCTGAATTGTTTTTTCAGGACTCGGAGCAGGATGCGGAGCGCAGCCACCAAATGTCAGCGCTGCGCTCGCTTTGTCTGCCTCGCCTCAGCTTCCTGCTGCTCAGCGTGCTGCAGAGCTCGTCCAGACACCAAGAGGCGCTGCGGCTCGCCGACATCATCTCCTCCGACCATCATCGCCTCTACCAGGTAACCTTGCCGCCGCCGTTTCCTGTTTTCCGCCTTGTTTTGAGACCGACAGTCGCTTTGGGTTTCCTCAGGTGTTTTCGAAAGAGGAGCTGAGACGCTTCCTCCTGAAATTGAGGGAGTCGTCCCTCGCGCTGTTGGACCAGGGACTTGACCCGCTCGGCTATGAGTTGCAGCAATGAGCGCCCCTGGATGATGTGCATTTGTGTCTGTTTTCTAAATAAATAAAAAGATGTTTTCTGCATGCCTTGATTGTTTCATTGAAGCAGAGCAAATGGCACTGCAGCTAAAAAGCCTGTTCTTTGTTTTGTCGGATGACGACGTTTGATATTTTATATTTATTCATTTTTGGGGGGAGGGAGGGCACTGTAGACCCTAACCTGAAAATTTCGGGGCTTGAGTAGAAAATTTAGGGCTGCACACTGTAAATCAACTTATGTCAATGTTCACATTTGCACTCATGTGTACTACACGACAGTTAAATTGGATCAGGTGTTGCCAGGAACAAAAAAAAAAAGAACAAAAACTTCAAATTGATGAGTTGCCCTGTGCAAATAAATGAAAATTGAAATTTAATAAAAGTCCATTCAAAGGAACAGACTTTTCTGAAGAGTAAATGAGAAAAGTGAAATTTAAGTACAGTACAGTTCCTTATAAATGAAATGTATTATTATTATTATTTAGTGCTCTGGATCTGTACATCAGGTCAACTTGTTGGAGCAATTGATGCAATGTCAGTGTTTGGCCTGTGGAGGTGCTATCACACGGACGGAGGACGTAAACACGAGCATCTCGAGCGGAAGTCTAAACAGTGGAACAAACCACAAATTGGACTAAAAACGTTCACTGGACGATACGGGTACGTTAATTACGACCATAATATCACATTGCTCTCAAATAAAGCTCGCTCGCAACACCCGGAATTGGCGGCGGTTCGCGTGAATTGAGCCGAGCGCTAGTAGGCCAAGAAGCCACGGATTTTCCTGGCTGACCAGACGGAAGCCGAGGGGACTCGAGCGCAGACGTTTTAGATCGGCTGTCTTTTGGTTTTTGAGGACTCCTGCGTCAGTATTCGACGTTTGTGTCGAGTTAGCACCAGAGAGGGCGCGTCGTAGATTGGCTTCACGTCAAAAATAAACTCGTTAAGGTTTTTTTGTTCGGTGAACAGCACACAACGTGCTTGAAGATCAATTGAAGTTTGGGTGTTCGTTTTCCGCCGGTTGTCGCGAGAGGCACTTAAACAAGCATCACTTTGTGGTTTTTAAATACTTCTTGCGCTGCTCCGCTACGTCCTTGCGTGTTTTGGAGCGTTGGCGCTACGACTACATTCAAGGAAGCGAGGCTGATGGAAGCCGGACACGAACGCGCACAAACACGCGCGCCGCGACATGTCCGGGCGTATTTCGCCGTACTCGGGTGACGTCATCCGCAGAGCCGGTAGTGGAATCGCAAACTTTTTGCCTTCAAAATCCGCCCAATTCAATGCTTGCTTGGAGTGGCTCGAATTTATTTCACACTGCTGTCTTATCATCACGTCACCATTATTGTTCAAATTGTAAACTAACCGAACGACTACGTTGTGGGCCACCGGGGCCAATTGTTTTTGTTTGTGTTGCATACATATTTTTTGATATAAGAACTAACAGATGATCTTGGGATACTTTATATTCCCGCTGTCGTATGCTCCATTTGCATGCGTGTAATTGACAAGTAGCAGTTGTTTCGAGGTTAGAATTATGATAACTCATCTCTGCATCGATGTCATTTTCCATTACACGTGCATATTATTAGCATGAAGCAAGCGGACTTGTATGGTTTGGTCAACAAGTTGGTGTTTGAATATGCAATGTGTAATTCTCTTTTTGTGTCAAATTTGCAATCACCACCAAATGGGAGTAAGAAACAGCTTGACGCAAGCACGATTTGCCTCGCATTTTAAGAACTGCGGGTAGCGCGTCTTCTTTTCGGCCCCTCAAAGTGATGTTACACAATAGTCTCACTTCTTGACACTGAGAACACGGATGTGTCGCAGTCTACATTTACCTCCGTTTGGACCTGGTTCGCTTTGTTTGGAATAGTGTCGAGTCATTTGATCGGACTAGTCCCGGCATGTCTGTGTGTGTGTGTGAGAAATGTAATCAGCTGTTCCAGTTGGTGGCGTGCAGCTGAGTCAGCTGGGCTGGCCGTGATAGGTCCACTTGACTTGACAGAGTGTACTCACACTCCAGTCTAGTCCTGACATGTCCTGGAGGCTCTATAAGAGCCAGCCGCAGTCTTTGCCTCAACTCTCTCTCCCTCCACTCTGCACTTTATCTCTTTGCACTTGCACTCATGGACCACTGACAGGCTCGCCGGTAAGAATTTGTCATTTCTAAAAAGCTTTTCACGCAGCAAGAGGGCGGCATGAATGCTTTGGTGTCAGTTCTGACGATTGTTGAAGGCAGGGCTCGTGAGGTGCCGGAAGGAATTTTAAAGTTCTGATTACAAATGACAAATTTTAGAGACAGACAAAAAGTTGTCACTTGTATGGGCCCTTTTCTACCGCGGGTACCCAAAGCGCTTCACACTGTTTACCTCTGTCACCTCCTGATGACACAGCATCAGGAGCAACCGGGGCTTCGGTGTCTCGCTCAAGGACACTTGGGCATAGTCGCCGAGTCCAAGTTGTGTTTTTGACTGGAAACAACGTCATCGTTCGAGGATCCAAAGAAAGGCGTAATCTTACAAGAATAAAGTCGTTCTGTATTTTGGCAGCATCATGGCATCATCGCCAAAGTATTTTTTTTTCAATACTTTTGAAAACGAGCGGGGGACTTTTCGAACACGTTTTTCCTTTCGCTAATTTGTTTACCCATCTGGCTGCACGATGCTCCGTGACTGACATTGTGTTTGTGTGTTTATGTGCAGATTGCCTGCATGTCAACCGACAACATGGACGCCTCTGATGAAAACAAAGTGGTGAGGCTCTCCAGTCAATTCCTTCTTTCGCTCCTTTCCATGCGCTAGCCGTTCTGCAGTTATCGCATGCGATGAGCCCTGATCTGAGAGCGCGAGAGAAATGGATAGTGCCTAATCTCGTTGGCATTTAGGCATGTCTTTTTTTTTTTTACAGAGATGAAAGTCCTCCGGATTTTCCCGGAATTCCGGGTTTTTCAAATTTTTATGAACATTTCTCCGGAGTATTGAGGAAAATAAAATTAATCCGGATATTAGTTGACAACATTGGACGAAGACGCGTTTGAGTTCGTTGTATTGCTTTCACGAGCATAGCCATATTGAGGCACTAACACTAGTAACAGTAAAGAGATTTTTGTTTGTGTAATAACGACAGAAGACATGATGGCGTTTGACTAATGGTTTAGTAAAACGAATGGCAACTCGCAACAACAGTAGCAAGCGTCATTTTGCCACTTGGGTTATACCATCTCAACTAGAATGTGGGGGATAGTCCCCAAACAATTTTCGTCTCTTTATAAACACACTTGCTAAACCCCAGTGGAACAAATAAAAGACGCCGTGGACCAGACAGTTGTCGTAAAAAAATATAAAACACAGATTGGCAGAAAATCGTGTCCGTCCAACTTCGAGTGTCGTCTCGGCTAACTTACCTTAGCTGTTGTCGTGTGTGACATCATTTGCGTCGGCGCTGATTGGTTGAAATCAAAAGACGCGCTTGCGTACATGTTCGCGCTGAAACACGCACATCAGAGAGCAGCGGACTATCTACTGCTGAGGCTCGCTTAGCTTGAGTGGAGTCGCCAGAACAGTAATACCCTCGCCTCGCATTCTCATGGCCTCGCCATATCTTGGAGATTTTGAAATTTCGGCCCGAACGGAAGCCACAAAGGGTACACGTGTGCACACAAAAGGAAGATTAATCATTGAATGTCGAGTATTTGAATAGCGTTTTGTGTAAACTAATTCATGCTTGATCGGCCAAGTGCGTGCGTGCGTGCGTGCGTGCGCGCACACACACACACACACACACACACACACACACATTTATTTATTTATTTTTTTCCCCGGAATTTTCAGAAAAGTCCACTTTCATCTCTGTTTTTACCATTTGACACAATCTTACATTTGTCCAGCGACCGAAACCATTCCAAGGCAATAGCACCTTTCCCACCCACATGAAAGTCGTTACATGAGCGTTGCGCATCGCAACTTAGCTGCCGGCCGGCTGTGGCTTACTTGTGTTCAGGTGCGGCCCAAGTTGGAGCTATCCACTTTGCTCAAGCTGGCGGGCGCAACCAAAGACGTCCTGACCTTCAAGGAGGTAGGACATGGACGACTCAGCCCGATCAGTCACGCCGAGCGGGCCGCGAGTTAGGAGCAAGTTTGCCAATGTGCTGTCGCCAGGTGATGTTCTACCTGGGCCAGTACATCATCCAGAAGCAGCTGTTCGACAAGAAGCAGCAGCACATCGTGCACTGCGCCCAAGACGCGCTCGGCCGCATCCTGGGAGTCGACACTTTCTCTGTGAAAGAACCTCGGTGAGGTGCAGGACAAAAACGCAAACCAATAGAAAACACGTTTCACAATCAACCTCACCTTTTTTTTGGGACAGGGTTTTTTTCGCCATGCTCTCCAAGAACCTGGTGATCGTCAGGAGCCAAGAAGGTAGGGCGTCCTCCGCGAGTGTTGTTCAGGTGCAGCAAAAAGGAACACAAAGTATAGGAGACTCATAAGCGGTGTCTGTCTGTGTGGTGCAGAGTCGACACGAAGCTTCGCCGAAGCGGCGAGCGGCAGCCAGACGCAACAACCCACACAGGTCAGACGGCGGCTCGACTTCCATTTCAACAAAACAAAAAATGGATGCTTGTTAGAAAGCACGTGACAAGAGGGCGTCCACAAAGTCCCTTTACAAAAATAGACCGTCAAGAAGCCGTCGCAGAATAATGGAAAAGCTGCACGATGGAGACCGGATATAAAACATTTTTTGAACACATTGTAAACGTATTCACACACACAAAAAAACAAAAAAACCACGCTCTTCTGACTTAAATTTTAAAGGGTAACAGCAGGAAAGGGGCGAGCAAAGCAAAAACAAAATCAAAGAAGCACAACAGAAAATCCTAATCTGCATAAAAGATGATGGCCATTTTTGGGTGGGGGTCTTCAATATTGGAGTTTTTTTTGCAATTCTTTTGATCCCAATGATGATCCGGACAAATAGCTCGTCGCTTGCTTTTGTGGACACCCTGTACACGATTGTGAAGGTGCACGTTTGTGCGTGTGAGTCATTGTTTTCGCTACTTTGCGCTCGTCGTGTTAGGAAAGTGTGGCCGGAAGTGGCCCTTCATCTCCCAACATCCGCCGCCGGCGACGAAGGCGCACCAGGAGCTCCAGGAGCAACGACGCAGGTGAGTCGTCATCACCTCTTGACGCTTCCTGTTCAGTTCTAAACAGCCCTACCCTCCGCCCAGGTCCCTCTCACGGCTTACCGGGCGAAGAAAAAGACAACGGGTCTGACGTGGACGAGGACGACGACGGCAGCGAGGGTGCAAAGAGGACCCGCTCGGACAGCTACTCACTAACATTTGATGACAGCCTCTCCTGGTGTGTGATTGGTGGACTGGCAAGCGGGCGGGACAGGCGCAACAGCCAATCGTCAGAGACTCCGAGCAACGTGAGCCCGAGACGTTTACATCGGGTGCCCCTGTAAGGAATTGACTGAAGGTTTGAGTTGGCGCGTTTGTAGTCCGCCAGGTCCGACGCGACGGCCGCCATCGCCAGCGACTCGGACAGCGACAACTTCAGCGTGGAATTTGAGGTCGAGTCCATCGACTCGGATGATTACAACGAAGACGACGACGCTTTGTCCGCTGACGATCAGGTAGGAAAACGCAGACAGCCGCGTTCCTTTCCCGCCCAAATTGCACTGTAGACACTTCAAGTTTTTTTTTTTTTTTTTTTTTTTTTTTTCCGGGGGGGGAACGCCCACACCATTTGGGGGGG